CGAGCTTGGGGACTCGTGCTTTCTTGCTCGTAGAAGCCGTGGCACCAGCAGCAGCAGAAACAGCAGCATGCTGTGCCTGTTCGCGGCGCTTTGTCCAAATGGTGGTAGCCCGGAGCCCCCGGATGCTTTATGAAGGTTGAGGACTACTGCATCCCCACCAGCACCAGCAAAGCTTTGCTCCGTATGCAAATATTGTGGGCCGTGACCAGCACGGGCAGGGCAGGGGCTCTGCCGTGCCTTATGAATTTGTCACTCATATCGCAGGCTGCCGCGCAAGTCCGGTTATGCTGCACAAGATGGCCAACGTTCAAGGGGTCAGACATCCAGATCATCAGGGACTCCCACAGTGGCTTGCGGGCATGTCATGGAAGATGTCTTCAAGGAAGGTTTTGGCAAGATTGCGGATTGTCTTTTTCAGGCGTTTCAATCAAGTAGTGCGAGTGTGTCGCATACGTTTGGCCCCAGGCCTGCTTCCGCAAGCGCTTGTTGATTTTTGTTTTTTTTTATATTTCCCCCCGAACAGCATCACCCAAGACAAGGATCAGGGCTGCGCTTCGGGGGTCTCGGGGACAGCAAAATAGCTCCCATATGCTGTGACTGAGATGGCCCTTTGTGGGCTCCACATAGCCTTGGCAGTATCCGCCGTATTCCGCAGTAATTTTTCGCGACAAAATACCGGTCTCGGATCTCCGAAGGCGTCAGCATCGGCTTCACACGAAGCTTGCGAAAGTGAATGTTCAGCTTGTGCAAGCCATGTACGGTCTCGACGGTGATGGTCGCGGTGCCGTCCACTTTCATGATAGGCTCATTCAAACGCTTCTGAATCTACTGTAATTATGGTTTTTGGCCGGCCTTGTTTCTTGGGTCGCTTGTGCAAACACGGAAGCCTTGTGTAGCCTTGTCATGGTCGAGGCGTGCTGTTCGGGGAATCCACAAAACAGTATTATTACCAATACCACCATCACCACCACCACGAGGACGACGACTACTACGATCACTGCGGCTATTACAACTACTACTGCTACTACTACTGCTGCTACTACGACTACTACTACTACTACTCCTACTTCTACCACTACTACTACTATTACTACTACTACTACCACTACTACTACTACTATTATTACTACTACTACTACTACTACTACGTTTTCTTCTTTTGCGACGAGTATCATTACGATTTCTGTTACTACTACTACTACTACTGCTGCTATTATTATTATTATTACTACTACTACTACTACTACTACTACTACTATTACTACCACTATTACTACTACTACTACTACCACTACTGCTACTACTGCTACGACGACTACCACTACCACTACCAGTACCACTACTATTATTATTGCGAGTACGACTACCACCAGCACTAGCTCCATTTCTATTATCACTAACACCAGTACAACAACAACAACAACAACAACAACTACTACTACTACTATCACTACTACGACAACTACGACGACGACTCCGATTACGACTACGACGACTAACAGTTGCTACTTGTATTACCCCACCACCACCACTACGACTATTGTTACTAAAGCTGGCACTGCTCCGACTACTAGGGTGAAAGTGGTCACCGGGCCGTTGCTTTGCCAGCACTCAAGGGGGAGTAAAACAAGAAGAAAGCGTTACAGTTGGCGTTTACGAGGGGTTTAGGTAACCCCGAACTTAAGACTTAGTACGAAGGCATGGCTGGATCGCATCGATCCAGCATGCAACGGGACTGACCTCGCCTGACGTCAATCAAAGCCGGTGATGAAAGTGGGTTGGCCATGCATCGCAAATGTTTGCAACATCTTTTCCACAAGAGATGGCTCGGACGTTGCAGGTGGCAAGCTGGTGTTGCAACGCCCCCATGCCTGTTGCGACAAAATTGCCAGCGAACCCATCACTATGAGCGATGAGCTGATCTCCAACTGGAGCGCAAATTCCCGGTGGACTTCGAAAGTATACAATCGAAAGTATCGGCAAACGCATCTCGAAGCTTTTGCATGCTTCTTTTGGATGACAGCTGTAATGAGTGCACGAACAGTTTTTTTTTTTAAATGTCGCCCGTGGTGCAATCTTGGATTAGTACAGCGTTGAATACAGTGGTTACATTCAAACGGATTGTGTCCAGAATGCCGCAGCTTCAGCAGCAGCAGCAGCAGCAGCAACAGCAGCAGCTAGGATCATGATCAGGTCGTTTGTGGTAATTGTTACGACATGAACAAGACTTTTCAATGTCTCCAGCCTGCATTTGCAGCGGCCGTGGCGTTTGCGATTCGGATGGTGAGTGCTACAATGTAAGGTCCTTGATGCGAAACCAAACAGGTGACGTGAAAGCTTTCGGCGACCCTAGAAGAACGCGTGTCGCTGTGAATGAAGCTCGGATGGGATTCACGCTACATGTAGGGGCCCCTCTGCGCCCCGCAAAGGGAAGCTTCATTGATGCCCCCAAAATATTTCTGGCCGGAACCGTCCCAGCATCGTCCCAGCTGGACGGTTTTCTTTGACATGTGCATTGGGCATTCAATTGCCTCAATAGCAACATGTGCCTACACACGTAAGCCCGCAGCCCCTGTTCTCAAGATTGTTTTTTTTCCAACAACGTGCCCTTCGCCGGAATTTCGGGCACACCTTGCCCCGGCTGCTGGTTCAGCAACTAGGGTCAAACGTTTTGACTGACAGCAGTTGGCAATTCTTCTGCGTCATGTTGCACGAGCCAAGACCCTGGACTGGTGGTGAAATGTTTTTTTTTTTTTTTTAATGTTTTCGGTGTTTACGATGGTGACCTCTAGGACCCGTTGATTCTTGTTGCCACCGGTGCTCGAAGGTATGTAGTTGGCAACTGCAGTAATTATTACGTTTGGCAGTCATGAAGACTGCAAGTTCCAGCTGCATGGAAAGAGAGTTGTAACTGCTTGTGGTGTTGTTGCTGCTATTGTTGCATGTTACGATTATTGTTCCTACCTTTTTTGCTCACGAGGCCTGCTCGCGAGCATTGTGATTGTACGAAGACGGACTTCAATCCGTAGCCATTAAGCTTTGAACCTTATTAAATCCACGTGACCTTAATCCGCATGGATCACGTGTTCCGGGCGTCACTGGGTTTCTGCATGTGTCTCATTTATCATGAGACAAGCGCGACCGATGCTTTGTCCCGGCTCATTCAGCTTAGCCACATATCCAGTTTTCCAACGAAAATGCATGCAATGCGCAATGCACAAGGCCCCGTCGCTGCATGCCGCATCCAACAAACGACTTTTACCCTCAAAGCTAGGAGCTCAAAGCTAGGAGTGCCGTTTCATCGCACAACTTGCTAGCAACTCCTTGCGTTCGTACTCCCACCATCAGCGAGCTTGAAGCCTCTTCTCGACAGAGCCCTATCACTCCAGAATCGACAGCAGTTTTTTCCGGGGTTTGCTGTTAGTGCGAGCTTGGCGGGAATAGGCGCATTCCGGGATGTGGATGGCGCCGTCCCTGCAGCACCCCCGAAAAGCCAGAGAAGGTGCGGTGCCCTGGTGCACCGCCTAGTGACATGGCTGGCGACAGCACGGATTCTTGGACCTGGAAGGTTGTTCTTTGATCTTAGGCCGATGATTCATGCTTATGCACATACGCATGGAGAAAGAATGCTTGTGACCGGACGTTTTAAGCTGAAGAGAGAGAAAGAGTGTGTTCCATTGTGTCGACGGTAACTAGGACATGCAGGTCATACAGGGCAAAGAGGGGCCCAATGCCATGTACGGTCTAGAGAAGTTCTTGCAATAAGGATGCCAATACTGGGGCTCTGTACTTGAGATCCGCTACTTTCTGAAGCCCTCGTAGCTTGGGAAATTTCAACGGTCTCGATATGATACGTTGTTATTGCTTTGAACTGGTAGCCAAATGGTTGCTTGCTGGCATTACTTGCTAAGGAGCCACCGAAGGAGCCGCCAAAGGAGGAAAAGAAAAAGGAAAAAGATAAGGATAAAGACAAGGACAAAGAAAAGAAAAAACACAAAGTCGTGGCCTCAGCAGCACCACATCTGAGAGGCATGTGAGCAGCGGCTTCGTTACCGATGCCGTCGGAATGCCTTGGTTGTGTAGCGTATGTATTTTCACGGCAATGGCACAATTCGTCAGGTGTCTCTGGATCATAGGCTTCTCGTCTGGGGGCGATGGGTTCGAGTTTGAGGCAATGGGGCTCAAAAGGTCAAGACGTTGAGAAAGGAGCTTCACACACCAATTCCAAACATTCCGCGATTTTGCTTCTGTTTTTACCGAGCCGGGGCTGGGCACCATGCAGTGTAGGCTTTCAAGGGTCTTGATGGAATGTGCTTGGCCGTCCGTGACATCAGGAGAAGGATAAGCAGAAGGAGGGCAAGAAGGACGTTTTCCCTACACATGTAATCACCAGCTTACAAAAAATCCATCCTTAAGCCCTTAGCCCCAGAGTTCTTTGCCGAGCGAGCGCATCCAGCGCAGGCAGGTTGTCGCTCAAGGATTTCTGTCACTGCGCAAGAAAGTACGGGTTCAATGGGCAACAGGCATCAGTAGGAATAAGCTTAAAGCTGTTTCCAACAGGAGTGGCAGGACACGAACTTTTGCAGATATATGTACACTTGTATACATATAAGTTTTGGTTTGCAGCATATGTGCATATAACTGCAGAAATACATATAAGCATGTTTATGTACATATGTATATAAGGACAGTTTTGATTTGCTTGCAGGCTGTTGCCATTTGGGGGTTTCGGCAGCTCCTCGCTGAGCTTTTGGTGCGTGGGAGCTGCCGTGTCAAGTCTCAGATTAAATTAAGCTGACAAGCCACGCAGGTCTGCGAGGTAGAGCCGGCCCCGAGGAACTTTGCAGACTTATGAGTGACCCAGAGCGCCCAATACCCTTCAAATAAGCAATACATCCGAAAGTATGGGGGCCTGAATTATGATTTCAGGTGTCGACCTTGTATTATAAAGGTCCCCACAATGTACGGTATACTGTTGACTCTGGGGCTCTTTGCCGAAGGAGAAGAAGCGCAAAAGCGCTGAACCGGCAGACAAGCCCGATGCGGAGCCAGCCAAGCGCCGCAAAGACGAGCCCCTCGGTAAGTTCCAGTGAGGAAGGGATCGAAAAATTAGTGTTAGTATTCACTTGCAGCCCTACTTGTAGCGTGGTATACCCAAGGACATCTTCTAATGAATAAAGCCCCTACAGCTCGCACATGAGTTTTTCTACATATATCGTTTCCCTTTTGGTTCAAGGTGCCTAAGGGTAGGTTTCCAAGGTAGATACTAGCATCCACATTGGCTCCTTGCAAATATGCTTGCGACAAGCAGGACAAGCATTAGAGGCATCTGCACTACTACGAACCATGGGGTATGTAGCATGAGCACGACCAGAACAAGCCACTGTCAGAATCACCAGCTTTTCCATAGTAAGGGCACTGGTCATTACTCTCCTTTCCTTAAGCCCAGAACCAATACCAGCATGTTAAACAGAATTTTTTTTCAAGCGATGAGCCCTACGACCTGTTCTTGGCCTCGAACTTGCGCAGCGTCACTTCTAGTTTTTTTTCCTGCTGCCTCTGGCGTCCGTGGCTAGGTTTTCAGATGGCGAATCACGGCAAGCCCTTCGCGTAGCTCTTGCAGTGTTAGGGGGCAACAAACTGCGATGCACATGCGGGTAGGTTGCGCTGCAAGCATTGTTAGTACATATACCCAAGACAACATTGCAAACTGCAGCAGCAGTAAACAGATTGTGGCAGTCATTGGCAGTCAGAAGCGATTAAATCAAGATGTGCCAAGTCAGCATATGACAGCACCATGCAATAGACACGGAGCCTGTTGTCTTGTTGTTTGTGCATACTCTTCATGTGTATGAACCTACATGTTACCTTCTTGGCGTCAAGTTGTAAATGTGTACTGGCTACGTCTGCTACAAGGTTTTTTTAGGATCACACGTCCACGGTTTTTTTAGGATCGCCCGTCCACGCAGGGATGCCGAGATCATTGACGTTGAGGTCAAGGACATCTCCTTCCCCGCCTTTCCCCGAGGGCCTTGGTGGTTAAACGGGTAAAGGGAGTGCCTGTCTGAGCCCGAGAGGAACATGTTTGCACAAGTAGCAAGCAAGGCAGCGGCAGCGCTTCATTCCACAAGATTGCAGAAACTACGACCAGTTGCTAGGAAGTTCTAAAACGGAGAGCCGTCTTTGTTGGACTGGCACTGGGATTGTTAGATCTCTGCACGCGTGCACACACCTGCACCCTCTCGCTCTCTCTCCTCTCTCTCTCTCTCTGTCTTTCTTTCTCTTTGCCTTTTAACTGTCATTTTCTGCAATTTCTTCTATGTCTATGTAGCTTCCAGGCGCGGACAAACCACCGAGAAACCCCATGAGTCGTAGAGGGGTGGCCGGTAGCATCAAGCCCAGCTGTCGAAGGATCCGAAGGCTAAGGATGACAAGGTGCAAAGCTCGATCGGCGGGCATGCATTGCTCAGATTCGGTGGTTTTACACGGGTTTATATGGTTTGTTACTGTATCACATTAGAGAGTGTGTATAGACATATAATGACATATATATATATATATGTCACTTTAAGAGGGCTGTTTAATGCTGGTCTGCAGGCTGGGGTCTATGCAAGAGTCCGGGGGATAACTTAGGTTCCGTGGGATAATTGGGCAGATACGAGTCCGTGTGGTCAAACCGTATGCCATCGTGGATTCATCAGGCGTTCCAGGAAGTACCTTTTCAGGCACCTGTGGCCTTGAGACGACTGGACAAGATAGTGTGATAGCGATGAGAATGTGGAAACATCTCGAGTGTAATCTCCTCTGAGGCCCTCAGCAAGGATGGTGCAAAGCCGAGCAAGGAAGAAGTGGCGCCCGGCAAGCCCAAACAGAAGGAGAAGGCACGGCCCGGAAGACTGCCTAACGATGTCAAAGAGCCAAACACATCACATGATGCTTCTATGAGCTCCAGAGGGGTATGTTCTAAATTCAACAGCCGCAACCTGGCAAGCGCTTGCATCGGCGCCTGCTGCGAGCCCAGGAGCAGAAAAAAGATAAGAAAGCAGCTAAGGACACCAAGGACGTTCTGGCAGAGTCACGGCACGCCCATGACCGACTTGTTGACATAGGAAGAAAGTTTCGTGTTTCTGTGTGGCGGGCTTGGTGAATTGCCTTCTTGGTTCCGCAGCTGTACCCGCGGGTAGGCAAGATCCTCGGACCCATGGTGCCAGGCAGCCATGCGGTCATCGCCGGGAACTGCACAGGGAACCGCACATGTGGCCTCATGGTCGCCTGTGATCCAAACGCGGCGACTCCTATCCCCTACGCGCTCTCCTCTTCGCCATGCGAGGAAGCCGATCCAATTTGCGCCCTCGTGGCAGCAGATGGCCCGTTCATCTGCAGGCTCTGTGGCATCCCTGCCTAACGGAGCTATTTGCTTCCCGTTGCAGACAAGTATTTCTGAGGGTAAGATGGCCTCGCCCACCATGTCTACCACGACGACCACGGGCAGCACGGAGGCGAGCACCCCACAGGCCGGAGGATCGACTTTGCTGGCGAAGGGCGGACCTGCAACACCCTCCACCAGGTCGAGTCGCGGCTCAATGGTGCCACTCAACATTCCCCTTGCAGCAGTGCAAACACAGCCGGGCCCACCGGTGCAGTCCGCCAGAGGTGCCACTGCGCAGTCGCAGCGGGGGCCTGCCGCGCAGTTTAGGTCGCCGGCATTGAGTTTCCGGGAGATCCGGGAGATCAGGCCGCGCAGGTCAGCCTCGATCGGGCCACTGCGCTCGCCACTCACCTGTCCCAAGTCTCCTATCACTTCACCTCGACCGACCCCTGCTTTGGTCCTGACGGAGGCCATGGCGCACTCGAGGTCATTGCGAGTAGGTGGGCCGGGAGGACTACTTCTTCGTGTATAGTTCGCTTACAGTACCTGTTAAGTCTGCATCCATTCTCACTGACCCATGCTTGCATAAGTTGTAGGAACTTTTCCTGAAGGTGTTGGCTGCAGAGGGCTGGGCACACCGTCAGTGCACAACTCGGGGCAGCTTGTGCGAATGGCGAGCACAGCAGAGACTCGAGAAGTAGCATCGCCCATATCAGGGGGCAGTGCGCAAATGCCGCTTCCCCAGAGTTGACAGAGATCGTCGATCAGCGAAACATGTTGTTATCCGGCCTGAAGCGCCAGTAACTCTCAGTACAGATGAAGGGTGTGTTGAACTTCCCGTGCTGATAAGACTGCAACATCTCTTGCCAAGGTCTGTAGCGACACCCCAGGGACGTTCCACAACAGCCCTGGACAATATGGAGGCATGGGCATGGGTGGAACTTGTTCGGGTCGCATGGATCCCGACATGCGAAACCACTGTCACCCCAACATGCGGGTTCCGACAACAGGGAGCGTGCTAGACCCCAGTTCGGAGAGGGTTGTTCTGGAGGCCACGCTCTTGCGACTTGTGCAAGCGGACGCGTCTCTGAAGAAACTCGGCATTCGGCGCCTGTCTCCTGGGCTGCGCCTTGGCCACACAGTAGCTTCGCGAAGTCAATCTCAAATAGGATCTTGTCGAAGACATGCATAACTGGTGCATTTAGCCGCTTGGATTTAGTCTATGTTGATTAAACCGTTGGATCCCAAAACTTGAAGCATGGCCGGCAGCCGAGCGGGCCAGGAGCATTGCTAGCAATACAGCAGTAGTATAGTAGTCGTAGCACTAGTAGTAGTAGTAGTAGTAGCAGTAGCAGCAGCAGCAGCAGTAGCAGTAGCAGTAGCAGTAGCAGTAGTCGTCGTAGTCGTCGTCGT